AGGTCATCGCATAACCTTCTACACTGGAAAAACCCATATTGTAACACACAGGCACTTGTCTCTGAAAAATTAAATACCGATATACTTTAATATAACACAAGGTACATGTACCTAACTCACATATTTGAGAAATGTCACCCGGTCGCGAACTTCCGTTATATTCCGATTCTGTGGTTGTCTATCCCACTGAAACTTGTTTTGTCGTAAATCTATTATAAATTATCTACAAAATGGTATATAACAAGCCTATTTTTCTATTGTCGGAATTATTCGTAACATGCCTTCGAAGAATGTCAACCGTAATTATTTCGTCTTCTCACAGCCGATTGGAAATAATAGTCTCGCAGTGAATGATTAAATATAGTTGTCCTTTTGGTATCTTCCCCTCTCTTATACATCATGTGTACATATCTTATTGCTAAAAATAAAAGTTTTTTTGGAGATATCACAATTTTATATATAAAGTCCAGAGAGAGTCTGAATGACATTGATGGAATGGGAAAATTTGAGTTTAAAAAATATAGAAACTCGTAACTCATTACACATATATCAAATAACACTAATTAGATTTTTTTTCACGGTATCTTTTGCAAATTAACTATCTGGATAATATGTTTTATTCAGTAAAAAACTATCGGGTTTTTGGGAAATACTTTTAATAATAAATCAATCACTGCGATACTATTATTTCCAATCGGCTGTGAAAAGACGAAATAATTACGGTTGACATACTTCGAAGGCCTGTTACGAATGATTCCGACAATAAAAATACGCGTGTTATACACCATTTTGTAGATAATTTAATTTAGATTTACGACATAACAAGCACTACAAACCAGGAAAGTCTGAAATGGCCTATATTTGTACTCGACTGTACTGATTTTTACTCGACCAGTCTGAATTGGTCTGAAATTTACTTGATAATACTCGACTGTAGTCTGAACCATACTTAACAGTCTGAACTTGTACTCGACCTTTACTCGACCAGTACTTAACCATTATATTTTCGTCTGAACCATGCTCGACCTAGTCTGAACCATGCTCGACCTAGTCTGAACCATACTCGACCTAGTCTGAACCATACTCGAACAGTCTGAACCATACTCGACTAAGTCTTAACCAACCTAGACCTAATTTTTGTATCTATCTATTGTATTTCATCAATTTAGGAACTGTTTTTAACAGCTATTTCCCCTGGCTAGAAATTTGAACAACAATTTGAAATTTAAAATGTATTCAATATGGCATTGAAACCAAAATTTCACAATAAACATAATATAAATTCAACACCATATTTATCAACAGTAATCTTATATACATACATATATATATCACCTTTAAAATAAAAATAAAATAAGCTGATCAAATAATCTCAAAACTGAATTGTGACTAATATTTTCAATGTTATTCAAATTTTTTTGAATGTTTCAGATATATTTTATGGTTACTGGACAATTTTCACCATTTACTTAAGCCTTGTATAGATTTATGGTGTCAGTTGAGTTTAGTTAATAATGCAGTGAACATTTTTTTTATTAAAATATATTTAAAATAGTATATAAAGCAACTTAATAAATTTTAAAAATCACACCTTTGTTTTGAAAAATCAAGAATTTAATATAATCATGATAATAGAACTTCCATAGCAATCCTTGATAACCATTTAAAAAAGGAAATGTGTTCCAAAGTTGCAGAAAAAATTTATTTCAATTAAATTTAAATAACTTTTGTCAAAATTAAAGACATGGCATACAAGAAGCACTTTAATAAGGTTTATTTACCTCAGAACATATGTGTTTTACAGGTAAAAAGAAAGCCCTTTTTTTCTTAAACTCGTGTATTACTTATCTAGTGAATTCAAAAGGCCTTGCGATTTAAGATTCACAGGATGTTTCAATTTTTAATGAATGTTAATATGAAATTAATACTCTCTGACAGGTGTGATCTTTTTAATGAGTTTGCCCCAAGCAGGAGGTATTACTTTATACTTTACCACTAATCAGAAGAAAAATTTTATCTATTTCTTTATTTTTTTTATCCCTTTTTGATATATATTATATAAAATATATCCCAAATTATAATAAGAATAGATATATTTCTAATATAAGGTTAAACAATTTCAGTGATTTTTTGTCTGTTGTTACCTCATTAAGAAGATAATTATATAACTATTGTATGTAACCATGAAACCTATATAGTTTTTCTTTAGGAATTTAGGAAAATTAAGTTTAAAAAAAAAAAAAATAACACATGCCAAACAAGAAGCACCTTGATAAGGTTTTATTACCCTCAGTAAAGGTGTGGTTTTTAGTTAAAAGAAAATCTTTTTTTTAACAAAACTCTAAAACTTTAAAATTAATATAATTAAATTATTATATAAGATAATTTAATTTAACTATCTCTATTTGATAAATCTGAGAATCATGTAAGGATGTAAAAATATGTTTTTATATATATCTTTATTTTATTGTGGCTGTTGTCATGTCAGAAAAAAAAGAAATTAATTTTAACAGCTAAATAAAAAAAAGTATAGGTTTTTTGGTCAAGTATGGTTCAGACTGGTCGAGTATTGTTCAGACCTTTGGTCGAGTATGGTTTAGACTGAAAAATTTGGTCGAGTACAGGTCGAGAATGGGTTAAGACTGTTTCAGACTGGTCGAGTAATAGTTCAGACTATTTTCAATGGCAAAGATAAGGGTCAATACAAATCAGTACGGTCGAGTATGGTTAAGACTGGGGTCGAGTAATGTCGAGTAAAATTCAGACCAATTCAGACTGGTCGAGTAAAAATCAGTACAGTCGAGTACAGATATAGGCCATTTCAGACTTTTACTGGTTTGTAGTGAAGTTTCAGTGGGATAGACAAACGCAGAATCGAAATATAACGGAAGTTCGCGACCTGGTGACATTTCTCAATTATGTAATTAGGTACGTTGCGTTATAGTAAAAGTATTTAGGTTATTTTTTCCAGAGACAAGTGCCTGTGCTGTAACAGTCAATCATATGGGGGAAAAATCAAAAGAAAACGTACTGCCTGATTTTCGCTAAAATATTGAACGAAAAACAATTATATGACTGCATGACCGCATCAAAAAACAATCACTGCACTACATGTTCTTAGCTTTGGATAGCAACATAAAGAAAATACCTAGGTTAAACACGATTGTAAGCTCCCGATCCCTCCTCTTACCTGGAACAAAGGTGTAACATGCATGAGAACAAACTATAAGAATCAGTTAGAAACGGGTCGACTCGTTAGATAAAGTAAACACAAAATACACAGTTCTTGTACTCCCTGAAAATCTTTAACAAAGATATGCATATAAAATGTGCATCATTGTCTTAGTAGTAAACGTGTTTCCCGATATCAAAAGTAATATTTACATGAATTATGATGGATTTAAATGTAAATATCAAATTCTCCATTTATAATAATTTAATACGAACTTTTGATCAACAAAAGAAATACTTAGTTTGTAAATACCATACTAGTAGCATATGTATAATATCTTAAATGTAGGTTCAAACAATGACAGCCTGTAGTTTTACTGTTAGTAATAAGGCATTAAACTAAATATTACTAATATTTGAGACAGTGCAAAATTTAGATAACCAAAATCTACAGCAAAATATATTTTTCAAAGTGATGTCAAGTCATTTGAAAAATCTTTCGCCATATTTGATAAAGAAATTATCCGACCATTTACTAGAGTTAATAAGTTACCACAAGAAAAATTCAAGAAAAGCCTGTAAGCGAAAAAACCCACAAAGAAAGTTAATTTATTAATGTCCTTTAATCCTAGAATGTCATATGTTCAAACAATTGAAGTTTTTAAAGGCCTAAACATGTACAAGGATATTCTACCCCATTAAAAGTCCTAATTGACACATCAACACCAGATTATATTTCCGACATCTACAAATGCAACCAATACAGGACAATAGAAATTTAGTGACGCTTACAATGAAACGGAGTCAAGCAAAATACGTTTTAGCAATAACGGTTAAATAAGACAATTAATTTTTAGTTGTACTAATGCTTGTAGATTGAGAATTTGTTTGGCTTGCTTGCTTTGTTTGTATAAATGTTTGCTCAAGCATTGTAATTAAGATTGGCATCTGCAAACAATATAAATAGGCGGAGTTAAACCTGTATAACTTAAATTTGATGAGATGTTATCCTGGAGGTTATGAATCTAGATATAATGTATACAGGTTTAACTACGCCTATTTATATTGTTTGCAGCTGTCAATCTTAATTACAATGCTTGAGCAAACATTTATAGAAACAAAGCAAGCAAGCCAACCAAAGTCTTACTCTACAAGCATTAGGAAATTAGCTGTAAATGAGATTTCATTTTTCGATGTTTCAATAGGGAGTTTAAATTTAACCAACGAGACGTCTCAACTTCTCCGATCGGCAGTTAAATCATAATACAGAGAGGCGACCGATTCGTCATGCGGAACGTATAAATATGCAGCCACGACTCGTCGAAATGAGGACTTTTAATCTGATGTCTCGTATAGGGGAAAATCCAAGGTCTCTGCACGTTAAAGAATACCGCAACATAAATATGCAGCCACTATCCAACAAACTCTCTTTTTTAATTGCAGTCTTCCTGTCCCGCCCTTCATCTCAATTGATCCAATTTCAAATTTGACTCGTCATGAATATGCATAAAATATTTACCAATGGACATTAAGAAAACGATATTCAATCAATCAATAAACACGATAAAAAAGGCAATCAACATTTAATAAAATGCCCCCTGGGGTCTTGATACGACCGCAGAGGTCAAATCCTGAACAGTTGGGACAAGTATGGACACTACATTCAAGTCTGAATATGGATTGTGATTAAATATTTGACACAGGATAGTTTTCTGACACAGAATAAATGTGGTCAAAGAACCGAAAAGTTTGAAATTGGACTTTTACCTATTATGGTTCAATATCCAAAATCAAATTACACGGTTAGTTTCAGCATATCCAAGTGCACCAAGAATTTAATTAATTTATTTATTAATTGACAATATTAGCCAAATCTTTAAAGGGGCTCGCTTCACCAATATATATATATATATATAGCTTTCTGAAAGTTAATTTATACAGAATAACAGACAAACCTACCATCAAAAAATTTACAAAAAAAATGAAAAAAAAATTTAATTTCCAATATATATGTCATCACTAATACAATGTCTTTAAAAATCTTCTTCATTTAACTTCAACTACTTTTTTCAAAATATCTAATAATGAAATAACAGTGAATTTCAAACTATATTTATACATAATTACTTCTCTAAAATTAAAACTTGATGCTAAATCTATTGTCAACTGTGAATCTACCTAAAATGTCTATCAATTGTGCAATACAGCTCCGATTTGGATTGTGATTACATATTTGACATAGGATAGGTCTCCGACACAGAATCAATGTAGTCTTAGAACTTAAAAGTATGAAATTGGACATTTACCTATAATTGTGCGAAATCCAAAATCTAAATACATTGCTACATTCGGCATATAAAAGAACCTCAAGAATTTAAGACTTTCAATTGAACCCTATTGAAATTGGTCAAGAAATTAACTATTCGTACAAAGTACTAAAACAGTATTGTTTTGGCCCCTTTTTTCCTAAATGGTTAGGGCCATACCCCTCAAAATCTATCCCAACCTTCTTTTTTTAGTATGGAACCTTGTTGTACAATTTCATAGAGATCCATAGACTGATACTCAAGTTATTGTCCGAAAACCTGAAAATCCTAGTTTTTTTGTCACTTTTTGGCCCCAAATTCCTAAACAGATGGGGTCATAACCCCTTAAATCAATCCCAACCTTCCTTTTGTGGTATGGAACCTTGTTGAACAATTTCATAGAGATCCATACACTTAAACTCAAGTTTTGTCTGGAAACCAAATGTCTAAACTCTTCGAAACAGTTTATATCCACAAAAAATATGTGCGTTTGTAATTCTATGAGAAAAGACGTATGATTAATTATAACATATAATCATAAGCTCGTTTTGTCTGATTTAAGATAGGTAAGTGTTCAATACATTTTTAGTTCAATACAATGTTCAATAAATCCCTCTGTGGTCCACCATGAACCTGTCTCGTCCTCAATTTCTTGCGCATTTTTCACACGTTGCTCCATAGTATGACATTGTGAGGGATTATATACTTTTACGTACAATCTATCCTTATTAAGGTCAACGGTATATTTTTTCCGAGTTGTCGTCCACCAAAACGAATATGTGTAAACCTCTATTTCAAATTTGCGTCCTTCTGGGCCATCCAAATACCGTATTGAAGAAAGTATGCCGGTATCATCAATTATTCCAATAACATCGCTTTGAACAACGTCCCCTATTTTTAGATCTTCTACGCGATGTATCTCTCTCTTTTCAATGAAAAGTGATGCTTCTGTCCGAGACATTGGTCTTCTGATTTCTTCATTAGATATTTCGTCAAAGATATCATTATTGTACTGTTGAACTTTCGCCCAATATGAAAAATGATCTGATCGATTTGAAAACATGGCCCATTTAGTCTCGCCAATTCGACTTTTCGCTCGACTTACAACCATGTCAGCTGGAAATGTACACAAAGGTTTGCAGTCCAATACATATATACTCGATTTATCGATATCAACTTCAACATATTCCTCGACAATCTTTCTCGTTCCAAATAAAGCCGAAGATCCATAATGGACTAACCGAATCTGCCCCTTTGTCTGTTTGTCATTTTCGGCCTTGACCTCCGTTACAATACTTGTATGTTTGACCCCATAGTAGCGATGTGATAGCACATCACCAATATTTATTTGCCCTAAATGTTTTACCTTTACACGGTCAACAGAAAATGGAGAGCTCAGCGCTTTTCGTAATCTTGGCGCCGTCATTTGAAAAGCGAGCGCAAGTAAAACTAATAGTATCATTAGTGGGATTCCAACTGCAGGTGCCATTAAAGGAACAACAAAGTGTAAAATAAGGAAAGTTATGATTGATGTCAGTCCAAACGCTCCAAATGTCAGCCACAAGTCGAACAACCTTCCTTTTAAACAAGACCTACATATTTGTCCATTTTTATAATCTTTAACATGCAATATTGTCATTACAATACAGTATATCAAATACAAGGCTGCTGCTCCACCGAGAACTAATTCCGGTACTGCTTTACTGAGACCACTGGCAATTTCATCTGAAGAAACCAATAATAATCGGAGTATACCCTTTGCAATTTTGCTTCCGGCACCAAATAATCGAGAAAGAGCATCTGCAATTTTTTGTCTCAGACTTTGCACCTGGAAACTTTCGCCTTCTCCCGCCACACACCAAGTTGCAAAATGTTCGCAATTGCCTGTTATTAAATTGTAGGTTTTGAATTTCTCATTTTGTGTCAGAATTGATTCGGCTCTAGCAACAATTGTATCTGGGTCGTATCTGGAAAAAACGTAGTTTACAATATATAATTCTTTTTCCCTTAGATCAATTTTTTTTGTTTCCTCGTGCACTCCTATCTTTCCACCAATATCTGTAAAATGTATGAGAACCATTGTAACTATACTACCTTCCGCACTTTGAATTTCTTTAACAATGGCATGGTGGTCGTACATTCTTTTCAGTTTTCGGTCCGCTTTTACATATTTGGTGGAATATTGGCCCGGCATCGATATGTGCTGACCCTTCTTTAAACTTGAGACATTTTCTACTCTCCTTGGTTTTGCACAATTTGCACAGCTCTTTTTTGTACATTTATCATGTTCATTCAATTGACCAATTGCATTTTCGAGAGCAGAATATGCGTCGTCATCCGTATTAGTAATCTGGGTAAGAGAAACTTCGTCATGTGCCGATATGTCATACTGTTGTCCAATCTCAGCAACGATTTCCTGGATATCAACATCACCGTCATGACTTTGTAGAGGATCTTCATCTAACAAATTATTCACCAGTTCCTCATACCCAAAGTCGTTGTTGTGTAAAGGTGCATATATCTGTGCCATATTCAACCTGTTGAAAATGTCATATAGTATTTATTATAAATATTTAATGTTCCATAGATAATAGATGTGACTTAAACGATAGTGACAACACAAAAAGTTTGAGTCAAACTCATTAAACTCTACAAAAGTAATATGCACATATTATTATAATGAACTTTTCCAGTGGCATAGTAAGCGAAAACTTTAATAAAATACAAATAAGATTTAAACCTATCCCCTCATACATTGTGCTGCGTATCCCCTTCAGGTATCGGTGAGTTGTAAATGGTGATAGGTATGTAATCATTAACCATGTATTTTTCTTAAGCCCGACCCCAAACCCTGTAAATTCTCTACTAAATCCAAACTAATTTCGACCAATTAACGAAGCTGATCATTTGTACTTTCCTTTTACATGTGTTTGACACGTAAAAAATGAATACACCGATTGTTATTTCTTAACATTAATCGAAAGATAAATTATATTGAGCATATAAGTCTCATACGGAGATTTATTTAGCATTGTAGAAATATTGTGTTAATATGATGTCATACAGATTGATTTTCAACTTTCAGAGTTTTTTTTTGACACGGAAAATGGGCGTTATGTGGAAAACATCTTTGCAGTGAATTTAGACCATATGAATATTTCGTTGCCCGTAAGTGTACTTTATAAAGACTTACCTACCAATCTTAGGATTTCCCAAATTAAGAAAGAACGACTATGGTCGGGACATTCCAGTTGCAAAATAAATTGTACCTTTCATTTTCTATAAATAAACTTCGGTAATCCCCAGTTATTCTCAGCTTGAAATTTTCAAACGATAACATGCAGTATCATAATAACTAATGGAGGGTCAAAGAGGGAAGTACGATATACAAGAAACAGCCGTCGTGTTGCTAGTTTGAAGGTTTGAAAGTTGAAATTAGATAATAAGTCACATTCGGTAATGTAACAATCGAGAAAAGGAGGACACGATTGTGGCTACAACTAATGGAACATGTGACATGTGTGACACATATGTATTGCATACCGGTCAGAAAACTTTCGAAGGAATACTTGACCTTTACTATTCATTTGGTTTGTTTTCTTCTTTCTGATGCCACTATTTTCCCACGAATATAAAAAAATATTTTGACACTAAAATAAAGAAAAAAATCAGAATGGTGCCCGCCCGATCTCCTCAAAAATAAATATTCGTCCCTTTATATTCTGTAAATTGGCCACTCAGAGTCAAATGTTACCTAGGGCTGCCATATTATCCATCAGACCTAAAACAAATGGGACCATTTGTAGAAGACAGTCCATCCCATTTAAATTCTCTACTAAATCTAAACTAATTTCTACCAATAGACATACCTGGGTCATTTTCAAAAAATGTCGAATTTTGAAATTGAAAATTTGATTTAAAGTTACTAATTCAAACAACCCTCTTCATAAGCAAATCAAAACAAACAATACTTATGGAACAAACATATAAAAAGATGCAATATTGATGATGTCATACAAAAATATATTGAAGCATTTTTTGATAGGTGGTGCAAAATTTTGTGTCTCCTGTTTCCATGTTCAAACGAAATCTCGGGTTATTTGAAAAAAGTTTCATTAACATTTTAAGCTTGTTTTTCATAGCCAATAAGATGGTTTTCAAGAGTATAACGTTGCCCGTTATTTTACATTATAAAGAATTGCATTTAATTTATAAATTCAACAACACTTACCGTTATCTTGATGATATTTGTTCGTTAAATAATTTAGAATTTTCTAAATGTACTGCCGAAATTTACCCAAAGGAACTTACTTTAAATAAATCAAATGTAAACGGTAATAACTGTTCTTTCCTAGATTTAGATATTTCGGTTTTACACGGGAAACTCCACACTAAGGTTTACGACAAAAGGCCGATTTTTCGTTCCTTATTGTTAATTTTCCTTTTCTGGATGGTTATGTTCCTCTGACACCATCTTACGGTGTGTATATTTCACAACTCGTTCGCTATGCCCGTGTCTGTTGTGACGTTTTAGATTTTAACGAACGTAATCTATGTATTACTGGTAAATTATTAAGTCAGGGATTTCGTTACCACAAATTACTTAAAACTTTTACTAAATTCTTCTATAGATATAAATATTTGATTTCGATGCTTGGTTGTACCTGTAGAAAACTTATTTCAAACGGGATAGCACATCCTCATTTTACGGAGATGTTGTTTACCGTGCCCTGAAATTTAGAAACGATCCTGGTAAACTTATCGATCCTTTAAATGAACTTATTCTAAATGGTTACCAATTCAACACTGTCATTAGATCTTTGAAATATTGTTTTTATTGGTATTTATATTGATTTTGTGATCAGTAAATTAAAAGCAAACTAAATATTATTGTTATATACATATGCACTTTCATGGATCTACAATCTGTCGATTCCTGTATCTTGGCATTGCGCAAGGTCGTGTTTTTCTCTGACTGTTTATGACGTCTTTACACTAAATCCATTGGATGTTGGATGTGTACTGATTGATAATTTAGTCTTAAATGCATGATTTTTTTTATTAGTTGTTATTGGCTTTGAACTAGCTGTCAGTAACTTCGAGTACTCTCAGATCTGTACTAAGTGTCTTTTTGTTGTTTGGATGTACAAGTACCCGGCCACGTCCACTCTATGTTTTTGTTATATGTATTTCTATTTGTATCCATCTGATGAGTTAAACCTTTTTGAACTGATTTTTATAGTTTGTTCTTATGTTGTACTGTTACACCACTGTCCCAGGTTAGGGGGAGGGTTGGTATCCAGTTATCATGATTAACACCGCCACATTCTGTATGTATGTGCCTGTGCCTAATTCAGTGGTTGTCGTTTGTTGCTGTGTTACATATTTGGATGAATAGACGTCATTAGCAGCTCAAGTTTTCAGACATGATCTCATAGCTACCAGGTGAACCATTCAGGCATCTAGGCACCTAATTGTAACTTGCAAACTAGCATCACGACCGCTGTTTCTTGTATATCGTTCTCCCTCTTTGACCCTCCACTAGTTGTTATGTTGTTTGAAAAGCTAGGTTTAAAGTTAAAAATAACTGGAAATTTCCTAAGTATATTTATAGAAAAAGAAAAGTTCAATTTATAAACTGGAATGTCGCGGTCATAGTAGTTCTTTTTGATTGGTGAAATCCTAAGATTGATAGGTAAATATTAAAAAGAAGATGTGATATGATTGCCAATGAGACAACTCTCCACAAGAGACCAAATGACACAGAAATTAACAGCTATAGGTCACCGTACGGCCTTCAACAATGAGCAAAGCCCATACCGCATAGTCAGCTATAAAAGGCCCTGAAATCACAAATGTAAAACAATTCAAACGAGAAAACTAAGGGCCTAATTAATGTACAAAAAAAATAACGAAAAACAAATATGTAACACAGCAACAAACGACAACCACTGAATTACAGGCTCCTGACTTGGGATAGGCACATACATACAGAAAGTGGCGGGGTTAAACATGTTTGCGGGACCCCCCCCCCCCCCCCCCCCTAACCTGGGACAGTGGTGTAACAGTACAACATAAGAACGAACTATAAAAATCAGTTCAAAAAGGCTTAACTCATCAGATAGATACAAATAGAAATACATATAACAAAAACATAGAGTGGACGTGGCCGGGTACTTGTACATCCAAACAACAAAAATACACTAAGTACAGATCGGAGAGTACTCGCAGATACTGACAGCTAGTTCAAAGCCAATAACAACTAATTAAAAATTGTGCATCTAAGACTTAATTATCAATCAGTACACATCCAGTATACAGTATAGTTTTGTTCTAAAACATATTCTCATTCCCAACTTTGAAGGAAAAAATATTTTGAGAATGAAAACAAATTCTGATTGATAGTTTTTGACATTAAATAAAGAAAAAAAATCAGAATGACGCCCGCCCAATATTCTTTAAATTAAATGTTCGTCCCTTTATATTTTGTAAATTGGCCAATCAGAGTCAAAGGTTTCCTAGGGGTGTCATATTATTCATCAGATCGGAACCAAATGTGACCATTTGTAAAAGACAATCCACAAATCATGCAAGTTCGGTAGAAAATAGCATATTAGTTTCATATATCATCAATGCCAAAATGTGTATTTCCATTCGGTCAACATTGCATGAAGTTCGTTTGTAGAAGGTCGTTCAGTCATTATTCACTTTCGGTTCGAAGTTCAGAAATTATCGTCCTTTACATGTATGAAATATTTTCCACTGGACGTTTAACAAGCAATTATCGATCAATTAATCAACCTTCTTTCAATATAAGTTTCTGTCCCTATCCATCTTATCCCAACTTATATATAAGTGTCATAAGTGGCGGTATTGAAATTTTGTGACTGTATTCTGTGTAGCATTAAAGCACCTACCTTATTGAATTGAAATCATTAATGTTTTATGTGTTTAGTACATCCTGTTGCGGTATGCTATTCATGAATTATTTCACTCAGGAAAAAACTGAACAAACTGAAAGTAACCATTAAACATTAACTTACTTTCATCCTAAGAAATTTTTGAAGTGTATACCTTGTGCTAAATTTTAACATCTGATATAATGTCGCATTGCTGGGGTAAAGAATGTTGAAACTTTTCACAGAAAAGGCGATACTGCGAAGATAGGAAAAATATATAAAATTCTTACGATGGTAATACAATAAGCGAATGTTATAAAGTCGTGCTGACACATACATGACATATGTCGGCTGAACACATAGCATTCTTCGGTGTCAAATGTAATACAATATTAGTTGATGTGTTAATTATAGCTCAATATAAGAGGTAAATTCTGAACTATTTATTAAATCTGAAATACAACACTTCATTAAATGAAATAAAACACCATACTATTTAGACGTTGCTGCGTATCTATACATTAAAAAATGTAAAAATGTAGTAGTGTGTGTAAATATATATATATATATATATAATGATAGATGAGGACATCTACCAAACTGCTAATATACTTATTTATCCATAATTATGCAATATAAATACTTACCTATTAATATACAATTATTTTAACAACTAGAAAAACTGCTGAGAACACTATCGACGGACTTTCTGTTTCTATAAATAACCATTGGAAATTTCAGGTAATCCCAAAATTGTTATTCGGTTAACCAAACATTTAAATATGGGGTCCAAGAGGGATCGTAATTTATTTTGGACTTATTAACTTGTTTTATTATGTCGTACAACTTGTTATCCTGGTTTCTATGATGAGTGTATTATCACTATTTAAAATAGTATTTTAAGCCCAAACTTAATATATAAATGTTCATTGTAGAAGGCTCGAATGGTCAAAATGGAGGGGAAGGGTGGAGTCGGCATCAATCATGTCAAAGATTCAAATGTGTTATTTCAGTTCAAAACAACATTTTTGCGTATTTTCAAAGATTTGTAGCCAATTTGTGGATACTAAAATATAGCTTAAGACTGCAAACTTTTTAAGATTTTGGAAAATATATTAAAAAATGTATAATAAGGACATCATAAATAAAAACTAAAATTGCATTGAAATTAAGGTGATAAAGTATCTTTCTGAATAAAATAATATATTTTAGGTCAGATGTCCTTCAATGCAATATTTTACATGACTTTTAATTGAAATATGTAAAATTGTTATTCATGATTTGTGTGAAATATTATAATAATCTTTATTGCAAAATTACACCCATAAGGGTCAAGCAATACAAACATACAATTATACATTTTGAATACAATGCAATACAATGTAATACAATACACTATAATAGAACATATTTTAAGAGTTCAATTATAAATTTGTGTAAAAAACACAATCATAAGCTTGTCTGACATGGGTCTGACCCCCTCAGTTCTAAAGATTGCTTAATAAAGACTCCAATATGACAAACAAGTTCAGAGATGGGGTTTAGAATGTGTTTTAGTTTATTAAATGCATCAAGATGTTGAAATAATGGTGCATAGTCTTTTAGATAAGCAAACAAATTAGAACGCAATGATATGTTAATGTGACAATACAAAAAGAAATGAAATTCGTCATCTAGAACGCTACATTTTTTACATAACCTTTGTGCTCTTGCAATGTTTCTGTACCTTCCCAATTCAATGCCTAGGGAATGATCACTAAGTCTAAATTTTGAGAGTAACTGCCTATGTTTAAAATTATTGCAATTTAAATATTCCTCAGACTGACAATTAGTTTTTAATTTCCCATAAAGACAAAGTTTGGATGAGGAATCCAATTTTGAAAGTTTATTTAAAGTAGTTTTTTCATATTCTTCTGAAACACACTTTTTAATATTACATTTTAACACGTTTTTTGATTGTTTAAAAGGTACATTAATATTAGAGTAATTTTCTGGGTTTATCTTCATATCGTTAAAAATTTTATCTGCAAATGAGTACCAAGAATAAATTCCTGCGGAATGTAAATTTATGTTTGCTTGTAGAGATTCTTTAACCAGGGGATTAATATCATTACAGTTTATTCTATAAAGTTTTTATATAAGAGTCCAAAGTAAATCTACCTAATTCTGATCTAGCACCTATGTTAGTGGCTGTCTTTTTCAGTCCTAATACTGCTTTACAAAATTTAGAATGAACCTTCTCAAAAGGATATTTTTCTGCTAATGCAAGAGTATCACACAAAGTATTATTTACAGCAGCTCTTTTAGATGCCCTAAAAGCTGACTGAAAATTATCCATAAACCAAATTTCAGAGTTGTATGTTAAAATAGGTCTT